GAGATGACATAGATGGTGAACCACCAACAGCAAAGATCACATGGATGGTGAACCACAAACAGCAGATGACATAGATGGTGAACCACCAACAGCAAAGATCACATGGATGGTGAACCACCAACAGTGGAGATGACATAGATGGTGAACCACCAACAGCAAAGATGACATGGAAGTAAACCACCAACAGCAGAGATGGCATAGATGGTGAACCACCAACAGTTTAGACAATATGGATGCTGAACCACCAACATCAGAGATTACATGGAAGTGAACCACCAACAGTTTAGACAATATGGATGGTGAACCACCAACAGCGGAGGTGACACGGAAGTGAACCACCAACAGCGGAGATGAACTTTCTCTGTTAATCAGGCTCTCCTGTTTCCTATCTCAGACTTGAAACTGAATTAATTCAGGTAAAGACTAGATACACATCACCCAAAGTACTTTAGAAACGTCAACGCTTTATTTCAACAGTCTGCACATAAGCCATTGTCTTCCTGGCAATAGAGTGAAAGCGGAATTGTTTTCCCTGTAATTTCAAACCTTGGTAAATGTGACTCGTCTAAGCCACATACACAGTTGATGCATGCACCCAGGCCCTGTTAACTCGGCTCGCCACTGTTCATGATCAAATATCAAATCTAATGGTATTACTGATGTCTTATACTTCTTAAAGCATTAATCATGCTTTCCCAACACCGACCAGCGGGGATAAATTATTGATGAAAGGAAGAGGCAATTTAGATGTATTTGTTCCCCCGTAATGTCCGCGGGCAGCTCCCTAAATAAGCCATGATCACAGGGCACTCTATGTCCATTGGGTGCTGACAGGTAGTAGGTGGGTTGACGAGTGCAGGTCGGCGAGACATTGACGACAGGTAGACAGGTGCATTCCGGCAAATGTATGTCTTTGATATTGATACTTGTAAGGAGTTTAGGCGGAATGGTGCATGCAAGAAAGTCTCAGGTAAATCTCAGTATCAGAACATTAACCTGTCACTGCCTACAGGTACAGCCAGGTATACAGGTGCACACAGGTCCATCTACCTGGTTGTGTGCTGGTCAACAGATGACCACTTGTAAATCTACCTGATGGTGTGTGGATATAAAGGTGAATGTACATGTGATGTTTTGGCATACAGGTGCACATAGGTTGATGTTTTGGCATACAGGTGCACATAGGTAGATCTACCTGGTACTGTCTATAGGTTCAGCCAGGTGTACAGGTGCACATAGGTAGATCTACCTGGTACCGTCTACAGGTACAGCCAGGTGTACAGGTGCACATAGGTAGATCTACCTGGTACCGTCTACAGGTACAGCCAGGTGCACAGGTGCACATAGGTAGATCTACCTGGTACCGTCTACAGGTACAGCCAGGTGTACAGGTGCACATAGGTAGATCTACCTGGTACCGTCTACAGGTACAGCCAGGTGTACAGGTGCACATAGGTAGATCTACCTGGTACCGTCTACAGGTACAGCCAGGTGCACATAGGTAGATCTACCTGGTACCGTCTACAGGTACAGCCAGGTGTACAGGTGCACATAGGTAGATCTACCTGGTACCGTCTACAGGTACAGCCAGGTGTACAGGTATACAGGTGCACATAGGTAGATCTACCTGGTACCGTCTACAGGTACAGCCAGGTGTACAGGTGCACATAGGTAGATCTACCTGGTACCGTCTACAGGTACAGCCAGGTGCACAGGTGCACATAGGTCTACCTACCTAATTGTGTGCTGGTCAACATATGACCACTGGTGGGGTTTTGACATGAAGGTGTATCTACATATGTGTTCGCATACAGGTGTACACAGGTAGACCTACCTTGTGATATGCTGGCATACAGGTAAATATACCTTGTATTGAGTTGATATATCACTTTAATATTGAGAACTATTATTACAGTTCCATAAGGTAAATCTACCTGGCACTGTTACACAGGTTCACAGTGGCAAATATGTCTGGCTCTATTTGTTATACAGGTGCACTCAGGTAACTTTGACTAGTACTGTGTTGTCATACAGGTGCATACAGGTAAATCTACCTGATACTGTTTTGTAATACAGGTGTACAATAGTAAATTATGGTTTCTGTTTAGATTTTAAATCTTTCCCCATGCCTCACTATCCCCCTTGAGTGCTGAATCCCATTTGATGAAACAGACGTTCCATGATGCTATTTAACCGGATTTCTCGATTACCTGATATAAGTGACTTCTTTGAGAGGCATTTAGCAGTTGGGGTAGTAAGGAAGGATATATGGATGAACATAATGTTATAATTGATATATCTTACTGTAACAGAGCACCAAGAACATAATAAATATGCCATTTTCATCTATCACTTTCCTATTACCTATCACCCACACTTATCGTCATGACCATATCACCCCAGTATTACAGTCTCTACACTGGCTCCCCATCTCTGCAAGAATTACCTTCAAAATCCTCATTCTGACTCATGACTGCCTCTACAACGATAACTGTCCCGACTATCTGAAACATCTTGTCTCCGTGTATGTACCCCAGCGAAGTCTCCGATCCTCCTCTGACTCTCTCCTCACCCAACACAGATCTCCAAACTAACTGTCTGACCGAGCCTTCTCCTGTGCCAGCCCTAAACTGTGGAACTCTCTTCCAAAGGGAATCAGGAACACTTCATCGAAAGAAACTTTTAAATCTCTGCTAAAGACCCATCTATTCACTGCTGCCTTTCTGTAAAGTTATATGAACTATTTCCTTCCTCAATATTGTCATAGCGCCACTGAGCATCTCTATGGTGGATATTAGGCGCTTTATAAATATATTATTATTATTATTACATGGACATTTCCCCATTACGTGGATCTCACCATCACTTCCCTACTAAATGGATCTCCATATTACTTTCCTATTACTTGAATCTCTGTTACACTTCCATATTAAATGGATCTAATACTTCTCCATAACACTTCCCCATTATGTGGATCTCCCCAATACGTGGATCTCCCCATCACGTCCCCAATACGTGGATCTCCCCATCAAGTGGATCTCCCCATCACGTCCAGCATTACGTGGATCTCACTGTCACTCCCCAATTACCTGGTCCTCACCATAACTTACCCATTACATGGATCTCCATAATACTTTAATATTACTTGGATTTCATCGTCACTTCCCTATAATGTGGATCTCTTTTACACTTCCCCATTACGTGAATCTCACAAACATGTCCCCATTACATGGTCTTCACTATCACATCCCATTACATTGCATGAAAACTACAGAAAATACAAGGGAATTGTTGAATTTGCCATCAAAGATGGTTTCCGTGAACACATGATGAATGATGTACACACAGATTTCCAAAAATGCAAATACTCTGTCATAATCAGCACCTGAGAAATACTGACATCAGGAACGATGTCCAATCATTAATAAAGGCGGCTTTATTCAACACTGGGAGTAGTCAATCATCGGACACAGTTCTTACCAAACATTAACATCTGAAAGTCAAAATCGATACATGAAGCATACAAAAGGTGGAAATCGGCAATAACTCATGCCCAAGGGAGGTAATTAGTGAGAATAAATAATCCTCCACAACAAAAATTGAATCAATGTTTATCATATGGAAAAGACAAGGTGTCAAGGCAAACAGTGCATGTTTCATCTGGCAACAGTCATACCCAGGATGTTCACCAAACAATTTCAGCGATCACCAGGGTCACAGTCAATTGGAAATATATTATTACATCCATGAGCAAAGAACATGTTCTTATCAACAGGCAAAATGAATGTTTTTGTCAGAAACAGTTCAGGTTTCGCCAATTTGAGCTTGAAGATGCTAATGGGAAAAGTTGGTTTTACCCATCCAAGCCCAGGTTTAGGTGAACGCTGTAACAAGATAAGCTATCACTGCTCTGTTGCTGCTTTGAGAGAGAATGTCGGTGTATGTTCATAAGAGAAGGTAAATCTGCCTGGTGTTCTGAGGTCATACTTAGTCAAAGAGGTAAATCTACCTGGTGTTCTGAGGGCATACTGAGTCACAGAGCTAAATCTACCTGGTGACCTGCTGGCATACTGAGACACACAGGTACATCTACCTGGTGTTCTGAGGGCATACTGAGTCACAGAGCTAAATCTACCTGGTGACCTGCTGTCATACTGAGACACACGGGTTAATCTACCTGGTGACCTGCTGGCATACTGAGACACACGGGTTAATCTACCTGGTGACCTGCTGGCATACTGAGACACACAGGTGACCTACTGGCATACTGAGACACACAGGTTAATCTACCTGGTGACCAGCTGGCATAATGAGACGTGCAGGTAAATCTACCTGTGGCCTGCTGGCATACTGAGACATGCAGGTAAATCTACCTGTGGCCTGCTGGCATACTGAGACACAGGTAAATCTATCTGGTGACCTACTGGCATACTGAGACACATAGGGTTCATCTACCTGGTGACCTGCTAGCATACTGAGACACACGGGTTAATCTACCTGGTGACCTGCTGGCATACTGAGACACGCAGGTAAATCTGCCTGGTGACCTGCTAGCATACTGAGACACAGGTAAATCTATCTGGTGACCTGCTGGCATACTGAGACACGCAGGTAAATCTGCCTGGTGACCTGCTGGCATACTGAGACACAGGTAAATCAATCTGGTGACCTGCTAGCATACTGAGACACACAGGTAAATCTGCCTCTTCACTGAATCAAGACGTTGGTGTAAAGTCTGTTGATGAGGGAAGAACCTCTTAAATAATTGAATATGGATGTTGGTGTAAAGTCTAATCATGGGGGAAAACCCTTTTAATTCATTGAATCACATTGTTTGCATAAAGCCTGTTTGACATAAAGTCCTGTTGCTATAATGGACTAGACAGTCGTACAGCTGTTCATGATAGATGTTGGTTGGTCTTGACCGGGCCCATTCCAATCAGGAAGGTAAGACCTATCAACAGGTGTCAGTTCGGGAGGAATAATACAAAAATCCTTACCTCCTGATTGGCTGATGCTAATTCCTCTTCTAACTGGGCCACTCTTTCCAATGCGACCCGTAGCCGTTCTCGAACCTGCAAGTCAGAATCAAAGTATAAGTTATTATTGGTGCGATGTCTTAATAATTGGCACACATTCTTATCCCTAAAAAGAGAGTCTTTATCAAAACCATTAACTGAAGGTTTTGAGACAAAATGTAAACACAAAGAAAAAGGCAATCATGTTGCTTTACATTCTCTCTACCACAGTCAAAGCAGGGTGAGTGAGTTTAGTTTTACGCCGCACTCAGCAATATTCCAGCTAATATGGCGGCAGTCTGTAAATAATCGAGTTTGGACCAGACAATCCAGTCATCAACAGCATAAGCATCGACCTGCACAATTGGGAACCGATCACATGTGTCAACTAAGTAAGTGAGCCTGACCACCAGATCCCATTAGTCGCCTCTTACGACAAGCATGGGTTACTGAAGATCTTCACGGGAGTCAAAGAAGGGTAATCCAAACACCAGCAAACCTGTCCGAATTCAACTAACACCAAAGACATTTTGTTAAGATGAAGTGTTAATTTCTATATCTGTTGTAAAGTACTGACTTGAATCATGATACAATATGTGAGTGAGTGAGTTTGGTTTTACGCTGCTAGTCTGTTTCACAGTCCCTGAACCAAATTATTTGCCCTACTGCCCAGCCCTATCTGCAATGCTGAAGCCCTAAATAAAGCAAGTCTAGATTTCCTCAGGTTCTGAATCTCTGGTCTCCCTGGGGCTCCTTTTCAATTCAAATGGGCTTGTTCGCTACTATCAAAATTATATATATTCAGAGAGTAAGCGTTAGCCTAGCAATATTCAAGCAATATCACAGTAGGGGATACCAGAAATGGCTTCACACATTGCACCTATGTGAATAATCGAACCTGGGACTTCGGCGTGACGAGCGAACACATTAGCCACTAGGCTACCCCACCGCGCCAATACAATATGTATGGCAATAAATACATTGTGTTGTTTTAATGTGAGATTTTCCATGTTCCACTCAGCTTGGTTAGCAAAAGTTGTTGTCAGCCTGTCTCTAGTTAACTTGCATGGCTGGTACATTCAGGATGCTTCTAATTGCATCATGAAATCAGACTTGTCATTTTGATTCTTGACAGATGGAAAGTTAATTCTAAACCGAGTAGTTATTAGGTGAGATAACGAAAAACTTTGAACTGAAATTGATATAGAACTAAATGATGATCTGACACATGGGTAGGATGAAGGATATTGTACTGACAAAAATAAAATATTGAAAATTAAAAATCTGAAACTTTCTACTTGAAACACAAAAGTTGCCATTGATGTACAGAGTTGTAAATTTAATTCATTTATATTTAATTCCAATAAAATGAATCAGTTGTGTATTTTATGCCACTTTTAACAAAACCACAGTGGTAAACACCACAAACTGACTTCACACTATGTACCATGTGGGGAATTGAACCTGGACCTTTGGCATGGTGAGCGAACGCTTTAACCACAAAGCTACACCATCCCTCTTAGGAAATAAAGATTCAAGTTTGTTTAAATTTAAGAATTTGCTTTTCAAAGAAGTTAGTGTCAACATGACCCGTTGGCTCCGGCACAAAGCCAATCAAGCCGTAGTCCGAGTCTGTGTTGTTTCAAGATGGTTGCGTTGACTGATGCCAAGATTAACAAGTTGTGTGCAATGTAACAACCCAGATGACCAAATGCGATCATCAATCTTGCCCAGTGCTGCATATCAGCTGTCTTAGAGAATTCCATCCAAATGGCAAGACTACATCTACTTTCAAGGTGTACACAATGGAACAGCTTAATGCCAGAATCTGCTTACATGGCGCCCTGTCAGTTCAAAGGCTTTTGAAAATGGGGATCTTACACTTCCATCGTCAGTTTCATGGCTATCAAGAACCACCAACAGAATCTTATGTAACAGTGAGTTAGCATCTTCCTTCCTGCTCAACACCAGCAACGGTTCAATAAAAGGCTCATCAGGAAACTGAAACATCGTTTTAAGGCCCACTGTAGATAATATATTTTGAGACAATCTTGTTTTCAAAGCTAACAGTAAGAGCCTATTATGCTTTCAAACAAATTTATTAGAACACTTAGACATTTTTTGCTTTTTAGGACGGCTCCAGTTTTATGTCCAATACACTGTTGAATAGATTACTTATCATTCATGTTATGGACTAAGCTTTTGCTACATGATTCCATACGCATTACTGGAAACAAAAATACCTGTACTATGTTTAAATCAGACAACCAGGCTTGCCAGATTCAATTAGTTTCAAGGCAGTTCAAACTTTTAAGACCATTTAAGGCACATTGTAAATCAAAGGTCTTGTCAAAGCCAGACTACCAAATCCAAGGCTTTTTGAAGGCAATCTTGTGACAAGAATGGCAATAAGAATGCTGGAAAAGGTCAAACTTAAATTTCTGAAATTTTGCCAATAGTTTGAACTTCCAAGTCTCAGAAAAAAGTTTTTGACAATAAATTAACTCTTTTTGTCTGAAATATAATTATTCTAGAGCAAAAGCTCCTACAAGTACTGCAGAAGGACATATTGGGAATTATGCATGTCCTACTTCAGCCTATCCCAAAACAGTAACTTGACATTTAATGTCATTTCAATGACTGGTTTATCTATGGTGAAATGAAATGAACATATGCTAGTGGCTTGAAATAAGGACAATATTGGGATGAGGATTCTGACACAGGTAAGGGAAGCAACTCTGCACATTGCATAGCTATGCAATCAACTACTGATTCACTATGTAGCAATACTTATAAGAACAAAATAATCAAACTTAACATGGCTCTGAACAGACAGAGAAGTGCGAACCAACAAACTAATGGCTTAAACTCATACTGAAAGTCTGCAACGAACAAGATTCTGCAAAGATCTGTGAAAGTAGTCCTCCACCCCTCCGTGCAATGGCAACCAAAGAACTAGATTCAATCAATACCCACAGCGAGGTTTATAAATCAGGTAGTCCAACAACATTACTACAAGATTATCCTAATTGCAGAGGGATAAAGAAATTTCTATTTTCGACTTGCAATTCTCAATAGAAGAATCAGGGGACATTATCGAGCACACTCCAGTGCAGGAGATACATAGATGACAGTCTGATATTAAAATCTTTCAATCCATGGAATTTAATTTACTCCGATTGTCTGATGCCCCCGACAGCTGGGAAAATGCTTCCTCCGGCTACTTTCCTGAAAATTTGTTTTCTCAACAAGTTTGTGTCATAGGTATATAATCATCTTTATTGATTTCATTCATATCCATATTGGGTGAGTGAGATGAGCTAAACACTGATTTGTTTGAGTGAGTGAGTGAGTGAGTGAGTGAGTGAGTGAGTGAGTGAGTGAGTGAGTGAGTGAGTGAGAGTGAGTGAGTGAGTGAGTGAGTGGCGTTTCATACTCATTTAAGAATCTGTTAGTCGAGTTTTTCACTTCTTGTAATGGCAGTTCAGTTATAGTGAATGGGTAAGTTTCTGCTCCTAGAGAGAGCACTTGGGTTACAGTGATGAGTGAGTTGTCTGCTCCAATTAAGAGCACTTCAGTTCTCATTAATGAGAGTGTTTGTTTTTTTGTCTTTTGTTTACAAACTAGGGCTGTAATCAGGGTGAATGTGGGAGTCTATCCACAATCATTGAATCCATTGAATCTACTAAGGGATACAACTCTGCATATTTCTGAATTTGAGGATCTTTTCATATTTCAAACTCATGCATGACCAGGTCATTGGGACTAGTTTCAGGATATGTACCAACTGGTAAAAGCAAACCCAGATCATCTGCAAGATAAATAAAAACATCAACCATTATGCTACTGAACTCTTCTATTTTGATCCATTGTTTGCACTTAGATGACACCATCTTGTTTAATCTTGTCTGTCATCATCAACATCTGTTTCCCATGGACCGATGACCACAAACGTCAATTGCACCTAACACAGCAGGCTGTCATCCACCACAATTCCCCCCTGACCAATCACATATTGATCAGAGATTCCGCCAACACAATACTAAAACCACATCCACCTCGTCCATGCTGACCCATAACTGATGGATCAGCAAATTACTGGCCATCGATTCCTGATGACCACTGTCTCAGAAATCAATGTTCAGGATGATCTGATCGGTCAACCGATAAAAATGTCTTTTGATCAGGACTACTCTTTCAATTAATGAACAAATATGAAATACTGTGTCCATGAAACAACAATCCTCTTCACCATGTCAGCGCCTGGTCAAGAAGCTTGAATTCAATATTGAACGTCATGTTTTCCTAGACAGGGGAATTTAGGTCAATTACGTTTAATCCAACTTTACATGATCACACTTTGAAAAAGATGCATTAGTTCACAAAGATAGATAAAGAGCATAGATGATAAAGAGCGAATTGGCTGTGTTCCCAGAAGAAATAATTCCAGACAAACATTTCTGACTTTTAGCCGATTCTTGAGTTAAACTGCACAAACAGCCGAGTGAAATTAGTTTGAAAATGTCACTTGCACGAAGTGCGCATAATTCTTAGCATGACACAATCATCATTAGAGGCAGCCCTGCCTCGCGTGTTGTTTTAGGCCAATCAAGGACACTTCAGAGAGCTTTCTCCATGACATTAACCGCTAAGCTGTGGAAACAATGGAGGCCGGGGAAACGCAAAGAATAAGACGACATCAAATTGACATGGCAATTGGCTCCACTTGGAAATGTCTGGGGCACCATATTATAACATGGAAAACTGATGACGATAGTTTTATTGTATACACCAAAAGATAAATCTCCCCCTTGGAAATATAACATTTTACATCATTTTTTCTGATCATCAGGTCAACTTGTTTGGTCTTAGATCAAATAGCCTGCCTTACATTTGTCAAAAAGGACAAAAAGGATAAAAAGACATATTAAAGTAAAAGGACAAAATCGAAACTGAAACTTGAAACTCAAAGTTATCAAGATTTAATTATATACTTCAAATCATTGACAGAAATCTGTTTCAGCAGCTGAACTTAATCAGAAAGATAGAAGGGTGAC